TGTTTAAATGGGTTTTCTTTCTAAATAATCCTATAGCTTGGTAATATATTGCATAAGAGAAATCACACAGGCCTTGCTCATTACCTACGTGTTGAGGCTCATTTTCAACCTGTAATATGTCATGGGAGACAGCAGGCCTAACACCTTGGTACAGTCAAATATCACCACCCGCATAACCACTTGAAATTTAAAGTAAGCTTGGAAAGGTAAGAAAAATTACATTTCAGAAGCTATCATTTTTAAATCAGTAAATTAATCATACTTGCAGCTCTTTGGATCTGGAAGCAATTCAGAAATTGCCATTTCCTTTAAAGTCAGATTGTGGGAATAAATTTGATTATAAGAAAAAGACTGATTGTCAGTTTATTTTTAGCCCTTTTTATGTGCCTGAAACTTTTATTTCCATAATATGCATTTTGCTATACCAGTATGGCAAAGAAAATCCCCTCCTCCCCCAACAGAAATCCAAATTGTGCACATATTAGGATGGCAACCAATTCTGAAATTGTAATAAAACAAATATTCTAATAAATACATTATTTTAGTCTTCCTAGTGGCCTACTTGTCTAAATTTTAGTGCAGGTACAGTAAATCATTATACCTGCAACCACATAAACCAGTAACATCTTCATAAAATAAGTCACAATGTGTATTATTATTGTCAGAGGCGTAACTAGAAACCACTGGGCTCCATGGGGTCCCCAATCTATCTGCGAAAATTGGCCTGCCGTGCTGCATACAGCGGCAGGAGGAGAGCAGTACAGTCCATCGTTGCCCTCCAACCAGCCACACTGGAACCGCGCGACTTGTCAGGTGCGGCTATTCACCGGCCCTGAAAGTATCCCAGCCAGTCTGGAGTGACTGGCCCAGTCGTCACTGCGACCCCTGCAACCGTGGTAGTAACGCCACTGATTATCGTAAAGGTTTCATTTGTACCTTGTATAAATCTTGTTAGAATATTCGTTTGACAATCTTTGTTCTTGATTTCACACAACGGTGGAATATACCTAGATTTGAGAGATTGTGTCAGGAAATCCAACCATTTCAGTCAGAAACGTATAAAAAGATTTTAAGATCACATGGCCTATCCCTCAGCATACTGGTAGTAACTACCAATGTTTGGCCTCCTACAGTCATGGCAGTATGTGGGTCAGGTTTCCAGTGATATAACATACATGTGCCTACAGTGTCACAGATAATCACAAAGAGGTTTTTTTTGATCGGGTAACTAAAAAAATAGATCATGGTGGTGCAGTAGACATTGCTTACCTAAATTTCAGTAAGGCTTTTGACACTGTTGCACATAGAAGGCTTACCAATAAACTGCAATCTTTGAGTTTGGATTCCAATATTGTTGAATGGGTAAGGCAGTGGCTGAGTGACAGGCAACAGAGGGTTGTAGTCAATGGAGTATATTCGAAGAATGGGCTTGTCACCAGTGGGGTACCTGAGGGATCTGTACTTGGACCCATTCTCTTTAATATTTTTATTAGTGATATTGCAGAAGGTGTTGATGGTAAGGTATGTCTTGTTGCTGATGATACTAAGATATGTAACAGGGTTGATGTTCCAGCAGGCATAAGCCAAATGGCAAATGATTTAGGTAAACTAGAAAAATGGTCAGAGTTGTGGCAGCTGACATTTAATGTGGATAAGTGCAAGATAATGCATCTTGGACGTAAAAACCCAAGGGCAGAGTACAGAATATTTGATAGAGTCCTAACCTCAACATCTGAGGAAAGGGATTTAGGGGTGATTACTTCTGATGACTTAAAGGTAGGCAGACAATGTAATAGAGCAGCAGGAAATGCTAGCAGAATGCTTGGTTGTATAGGGAGAGGTATTAGCAGTAGAAAGAGAGAAGTGCCCATGCCATTGTACAGAACACTGGTGAGACCTCACTTGGAGTATTGTACAGAAGGATATTGATACTTTGGAAAGAGTTCAGAGAAGGGCTACTAAACTGGTTCATGGATTGCAGAATAAAACTTGCAAGGAAAGATTAAAGGAACTTAACATGAATAGCTTGGAGCAAAGACGAAACAGGGGGGATATGATAGAAACATTTAAATACATAAAGGGAATCAACACAGTAAAGGCGGACACTATATTTTAAAGAATAACTACCACAACAAGAGGACATAGTCTTAAATTAGAGGGGCAAAGATTTAAAAATATTATCAGGAAGTATTACTTTACTGAGAGGGTAGTGGATGCATGGAATAGCCTTCCAGCTGAAGTGGTAGAGGTTAACACAGTAAAGGAGTTTAAGTTAAGTTTGTTTTAATGGCATTCTACAAAACAAGTACAATTATGTTTTGGAATCCATGTAAGTGATCAGGTGGCACAACCAAGGTGTCTGTGCCAAGGGCAAAAGTCAGAAGAAGCAATGCAATGGAAAAGAACAGGGAAGGATTAAGAACATTTGGAGTTAAGACACAAGGAGAAAGATTGTGAACATCTGAGAACTTTGTACAAGTTTTTAATAACTGGCAATACTAGAATATTGATTTAGCATCCAAGACAACCAGCCACTGGCAAACAGAGCAGTGGCTTCAGATATTGGAAGAAGTGAATGCAGTTTGGGGAACAGGAGTGAGAATATGGCGAATAAACTATATATTTTTAATACCATACATGTAAAACACATGCACAGCCCTAGCCTCACAACATTCCCAATTAAGGCAACACAGATCCACTTTCAAGGTTCAGTCCCAACAGACCTACCCTGCTTTTGGTATCAGTTCAGCGCACCATTTAGGTGATAGACTTATAGAGCCATTCAGTCGGTTTTTTGGAGGCATATTTATTTCCAGCCCCCACTGACAATTGTTCTCTTTTTTTCTGAAGTGGATTTACCTTACGCTTTAATTAGCTGAGCTGACACTTGTTGGCACTGTAGGGTCCTGCCCTGGTATTGTCTCCTGATATATCCCTTTTATGTTGTAAATTAATAAAGTTTTTTTGTTGTGGATGTTATAGGAGACTTTGTATCCCTGAGCAGGTTACCCTTTGTCTATTTCTTTGGGATCTAAGCGTATTTTAACAGCTTGCATTTTTTCCTCTTTGTATTTGTTCAATTAAAGCCAGTAGAGTGTGTTCCCCCTCTTCCTTTTTGTGCTGTGGGGGAACATTCTTTCTTTGATTCTATTTTTATGTTCAGTCCCAACATCCTGATTTATTTCCTTGGTGTCACTCAACTGTCCCCAGCCAGCACAGTGCATCATAAGGCACACACCTTGAAAGTGTTAAATTTGTGTATGATAGCGAGGACACATATCTATCTTCCAGTACAGTTCTCATGGGTGATCAGTTAATATTTATTGATAGTCCTATCTGGTAAACTTCTTTAATTTGGTTCTTCATCAAATAGGCTTTAAAAATGAAACAGAACATTGCTTTCTACAATTTTGATTTAGTCTTTCTACAATGTGAGTGATCATATAACAACATCCTTAATATAATGGTCTACTTTTTCAGTCATGACAATTAAATGCCACCCTTTGATCAAGCATGATAAGATTATTAATGGATTGGCTTCTGCTTACAGTGGAACTGGTGTACATATCACATGGAGTGTTTAATAGGGCTGTTGGGTGTCTATGGGATATAGCACTAGACTTTATGTTGAAAATCATTAAAGGACCACGCTAGGCACCCAGACCACTTCAGCTTAAAGAAGTGGTCTGGGTGCCAGGTCCAGCTAGGGTTAACCCATTTTTTTTTATAAACATAGCAGTTTCAGAGAAACTGCTATAAACATAGCAGTTTCAGAGAAACTGCTATGTTTATTAATGGGTTAAGCCTTCCCCCTAATCCTCTAGTGGCTGTCTCATTGACAGCCACTAGAGGCGCTTGCGTGCTTCTCACTGTGATTTTCACAGTGAGAGCACACAAGCATCCATAGGAAAGCATTGTAAATGCTTTCCTATGCGACCGGCTGAATGCGCGCGCAGCTCTTGCCACGCGTGCGCATTCAGCCCATGAGGAGGAACGGAGGAGAGAAGGAGGAGAGCTCTCCGCCCAGCACTGGAAAAAGATAAGTTTTTACCCCTTTCCAGAGCCGGGCGGGAGGGGGTCCCTGAGGGTGGGGGCACCATCAGGGCACTATAGTGCCAGGAAAACGAGTATGTTTTCCTGGCACTATAGTGGTCCTTTAAGCTAAAAGTAGTCTGACTAGCAACTTTAAGTTATTGAATGATTTTAAGGAGTTATGGGCATGCCAACTTTGTCTTAGTTAAAGGGACACAATAATCACCAGAACTACAGCTTATTGTATTTGTTCTGGTGAGTATAATCATTCCCTTCAAGCTTTTTGCAGTAAATACTGTTTTTCAGAGAAAAGGCAGTGTTTACATTACAGCTTAGGGACACCTCCACTGGCCACTCCTCAGATGGCTACTAAAGGGGCTTCCTGCAATTCAGTGTCTCCACCCTGTGCATAGAGACACTGAACTTTACTCCTAGAGGTGCATTAATGAGGAGATGCTGATTGGCCAGGACTGTGTTTAGCTTGTGCTGGCTCTGCCCCTGACCTGTCTCCTTGACAAGCTCAGCCCATCCAATGTTTTCCTATGTGAAAGCATTGTGATTTGCTGGGATAAACACAGAGCAGATCAGGTGCAGAGGCAGCAGACTGGAATAAGAGTTAAGATTTTGCTATATTTAGAAGGGGGGGGGCAATATAGTGTTTTTAACACTATAGGGTCAGGAATATATGTTTGTGTTCCTTTAAGCTGGTAGCTCACTCTAGGTGCTCATAAATATGGTGACTTTCCATAGAGAAATTTGTGTTTCTCTATGAAAAAGCATTGCTGTCAGATTGTTGTGTTTACCACATATGCTCCCTGTGTCTAAGTGTTTATTTTACTTCAAAATACAAAAATATTTAAAAATAAATAAAAATCAGGATTGATTCTTTTAAGACACAGAGTAAAATGACAAATACGCTTAATCCAAATTCCAATATTTACTTACTTTTTTAAAAATAATGTAAAAGTTTTTAATAAAAAAAAAAAAATTAAAACACAAAAATAGTACTAATAATACTACTAGGTGCAAAATGTATACATCCATTATCTGATGCCATGTCACAGTGAACCACAGACACATGTATTTTTCAGGCTCTGATCCATGACCAAAAAAGTAATTGTCGTGGAACTGTTCGACAAATTACATTTACACATTCTTCATGTTCTATGAAGTGACCATCTCTCGTATATATTTAGTTATTTTCCAGGGGGAGTTATTTTACCTTGTAAATTTTGAGGTTGCAGTCAATCAGGATCAACCTAATTCGCTATTTTATTTTGCAACTTTTGGTAAGGGTAGTGGGTCTTTCGTATCTTTGCAATCTGAGATGCAATATTTTCAGGAGCTAGCATTAATTGTATCAAAATTAAAGAAAAAAGGAGATCTTTTCATTGACCACGGAATAAAATCAGTACTGGCAAACTATATCCAAAATAAACTTCAGGATTTCTAGTATATGCAATTTTGAAGTTACATGAACTGACAGATGACGGTTTAAATGTTAAATTAAGTGACTGTAGATCACTTACCAGTAAATACGTGTTTGTGTCTGTAGTACATGAAAATCATATGAAAATTCAAGCGACACTAACTCAAAAACCAAACAAGTAATTTTAAATTAAAGATGCCCTTGAACCACTTTGATGTAAACAGATGCATTCAGTATACTCATCTTCATGTTTGGTGCAGAATGTGTAATGCATAGGATTTGAGCATATAAACATTCATATTTTTTACAAACATGCCCCAAAATTAAATTGCTAGTAAAGGTCATAGTGTCCATCTCGTCCGCTCCTACACTGTGCTCACTCTTAAAAAAGGATTCCAAAAAAAAAAAAATAAAGTCTTAAAAATAACAAGAGTTAGTAATGAATGCAGATAGATATATTTTTTTATTATTTTTTTCAATATAATATTAAACAAAAATCTGCACACCAGTCAAGCCATAAGACAGGGGCGTACCTAGGGCATGTGGCACCCGGGGCAGGTCCTGGGTTTGGCACCCCCCCACCTTACACACACACACACACAGTTTCAGGCAGTTACACACACACGGTTTCAGGCAGTTACACACACACACACACACGGTTTCAGGCAGTTACACACACACACACACACACACACACACGGTTTCAGGCAGTTACGTACAGACATACACTCTTATACTTACAGAGAGTGTGGGCTGGAGGAGTGGATTCCCTGGCCTGAAGTCCTTCCCTGGAGCCTGTTAGGTGGAGGTGCAGGGATTTCTGCTTGCTGCACCTCCATGTGCAGCAATTACAGCAGCTTGTAAGGGCTGTGTTAAGCCCCGCCCCTGATTGCAGTTGGCTCCGCCCCTAAACGGCCGTAGCGCCACCCCCTTCTTCCTCACGGGCGGCCAGTTTAGCGTGCTGGTCTCCGTGTGAGCGGTGACAACCCAGCTGCCATGGGGCACAGCTCACACAGCCCCCTCCAGCCCCAAGACCAGGGTCAAGGCACCCCCTACCAGGTGGCACCCGGAGCGTACCGCCCCCTCCTTAGTCCGCCACTGCCATAAGACTTGGCTTTTCCCACAGAAATCACAAATTTGATGTGATGTTACTACCGCAAAGGATTCTGGGTGGGCATATGTAAATTAGTTTAACAAAGAATCACATTTTTGCCTCATTCTATTATAAACATGTATACAACAAACAGCCTCAAAGGAATCCAACAGCTTTGAAACACAACTTAGGAAAAGATGCAAAGCTAGTGAACCACTCATGCATGGCTTGACTGGTGTGTAGATTTTTGTTTAACATTGTATTGACTATCCACAGACTTCAGGTGGAAGGGGTTTTCAAGCACAATTTTTTCCCCACCATAACTTTGAGAGATTTAAAATATATATATATATATATATATATATATAAAAAACCAGGGGGCTGCACTCACCTTGCACTCAAAAATAAAAAAAATTAATTTGTGCACCTACTGGACTTCAAATTTATTGATATACACTAACAAAATTAAAGTCTTGGCTCTTCACACACTCAACCACCATGTGTATATCCATTCTTCTTTCTCATTTAAGATTAACATCCTCTCTTTGTTAAATTCTAAGATGATGATGCCTATTGTTGCAGAACAAGCATTTATTCCACTTGACATCTAAAACTAGGGAGTCAAAAACAAATAATGCTATACTGCATAACTTTAATGTTTCATTAACTGTACATCACCTTAAAAGTTATTTACTTTACATGGCTTTACTAAAAGAACTTCAAAACGGCAAATGTTTCCTTGATTACATAAAGCTACAAAAAAAAGTTACAAGATATTTTGTTAAAATGTAGGCATTGTTTAAACACTAAAATCAAGTTTCATAATGGACACTGAAAAAGTCTAGAAGTCAGATTTCAAAACCCACCAAGAATACAGCCAAATGTTTGTGACATTTTATTCCGAGAGAAATGGTTTTGCATATATAGTGGCACTAGTCAGTTATATACACTTTCTGTGAAAAGTAATGACATCTGCAGGAGTCCATATAATGCATAAGGAAGGAGCTAAATATACAACCAGGACTAGTGTTAAGAAAAGGAAAAAAAAACAAAAACAAAAACAAAACATCCCTTATATCAAATGCACATGTAATGCTTTCTGGAATACTGATAAAATCCTTTGAAAACATGTTTTAGTAGGCAGGAAGGTAGCCAAATGAAATGGAAATGATTAATACTATCCTGTTTTGCACAGTACTGTAATGATCAACCATAAAGAAAACACACAGCACAACACTAAACAGTCGGGCATGGAACTATTGCACTCACATGTAAAGGGCTCTGCTGCCCTATTTTGCCTTTGACACTGCACTTTTTTTATACAAACATTTACAACACATTTAATAAGACACAATAGAAGTGCAGTGTAGTGTCACAAGAAACAGGCACGCACTCATCTCTTCGAATACAATGTAAAAAGTTATAGAAGTCTCTCTCTGTGGTCTTGTAAAGTCTACAGCTAACTTTGGATTTCCGGTTTCCCTTCTAATGCTTCAGTTCTCAGTGCATAAAGGACACATGCTTTGCCCGGAACCTGCAGCTTCATCTCTTTTAGTGTCCCGTTAGGTAGTCCTGTGTGGAGTCTGAAGCAAATGAATCGGCATCTTCATTGTCCGAGTCGTCACTGCTGTCATCTGCTGCGGGTTCGCCAGTTAGTGCAATTCTTGCATAGTCATCAGTGTCTATAGACTTGCAGAAATGAATAGCGTATTTTAACTTCTCCTCCAGTACCTGCTTGCAGGAATATCGGGGAAGCTTCAGCAGAAAGAAGCAAGTGTAGGATTCTGGAAGAAAATGATCTGGAGGGTTGTACTTGTCCAAAACCTGTGTATTAGAGAAGGAAATCCATATCTTTAACAAAAATATATTCACACACACAGGTTTAAAATAAATTAATAATAAGAAGGACAAAAATATATGTTGGGACAACAAATCAGGTTTAAGATTTGCTATATTCTCCTCAACTTCCATCCCACCTAACATGGACGTTTATGTAATATGATATTTTATTGTTTTGAAAAATCTATTTTTAGAAATGTATCCAAAAATATTAAGTCATTTGACAAGCGTATCTAAAAATATTAAATCAAGGCCAACATTATTTATGAAGGGAAATGTTTTTGTAAAAAAAATTTGTTCTAAAAACCCCAAATTATGAGACATATTGAGCCAATGTTTAACACGTTTTAGAAAGTCCATGAATAATGCACACTTAACCAAACCTAGCAAGCATCTAAATTCGTAACGAGTACAATAAATTGCTACATTTATCATTGCAACACATTAAGATATCTTTTATAAAGTCTATTTTATAGGCCACAAGAGTAAGTGTATGCCCCATCTAATACTGCATAGATTATATGGCACTATATTTGTGTGTGTGGGGTTTGTAAAGGTTCATACAACATGCCAGTACCTGTATGACAAAGTCTCTGCCTCTGAAGTCTGCTATGGTCCGAGGTAGCCTGGTCCTACCCCACACAAATCGAAGGAACAGGGACCTTTCTGTGTTTGAGAAAGACTCCATCACTTCCCAAAACCACTGGATGAGGGATGCTGTGGGCTCAATTCCCTTGTACGTGGCTACAGATTTCAGCAAATGAAGTGGAATATCTGGGCTCCCACACACCTGAAAGGACAGAATATTCATTATAAAGTTCACACACAGATCTATTCACTAAAGTGAGCATTGTCAGGAATGCCAAGTAAATACAAAGAGTTTCAGATTTTAGACCAAAATAGCAAAACTGGAAACATAACGGACTTTTAGCTATTTTCACTTTAATTCGGAAATTCACTTTGAATTCCGGGCAGGGCTTTCTCTACCTCTTGTATTTTGTCTGTGTATATTACTGAATGGAAAGTACAGATTAAACATTTTTTTCCAGTTCTGCGAGTTTACCCTCAAATTTAAAATTCACCTTTAATTCTCCATAAATTCGCACTTTCGAATTTACAGGAATATTTACTAAACACTCTGGGACTAAACATTCTGAGAACCAAAGCTGCCACCACATCTCAACCAATCCAGATTCTAGCATTATAAGAAACATTATAAAAACATGAGCACTGTGCATTCCAGTGCATATCCTAGAGAATGTTTTGTATGTATTTTATTCACTTTCTTTCAAACAGGTACAGTTTCTTCTATGGAATTTACACCGTTGAACAAATAAACTTCCCCAAACAGATACCATGTTTTCTTTTAGATGTATATAAAGATATAGCAAAAATATATAACAATCCATTTTAGACAAAGGAAAACTAGGGCACACATTACAAATGAGAGAATAGAAACATTGTTTCATGTCTCATCTTCTCTTTATACTGACTGCAAGGTGCAAAGGACATAGTTAATAACAATGATTGAGAGCTAAAATGGAAAGACTCCGTTGCAGGATAAACAGGCATGCATTTCTAAATGTTATTTTATTTTTCACACATCACAAATGCATTTTTTTTTTTTCATATACAGATAAACAAGTGTAATATTAAAATCCTGGGAAGTGACAGTTGCCTTTTGTGTAAACATTTTCGCATGTCTCAAATTGCTAATCCAAAACGCAATTCTGCAAAGTCTACAACTTTGTGAATCAATGTGCAATGACTAAACATTAGTAAGTTCAGATGAAACTATCACTTTACCAGGGCTCTAAAGTTCAGGTATTACACTACTGCACGAGTCTAAACGGTACTTGTTCGACAATCCTAGATGTCCATAGCAGGGCTGAATTTCATCAGGGCTCAACTTCTACTCTCTAATGGGGAGCGGAAATTTTGAGTATCGACTAAACATAAGCAGACAACATAGAAATAACATATTACCATAGTTTCCAGTTCATATCCAGTAAAAAGGGAAAGTAGAGGAACAGGTACAACTCGTGCCATTCCTTCTCGAACTGCAGCAACCTGCTCATCAAACTCATGTAACCTGCACAGGTAATGTGGAAAATAGCAAATGAAAATAAAATGCAGGAATCTTGCAAACAGAACCTAAAGTACATATTTTTTAGCTATAAGAAGTAACTTTTGAGACTCTAGTCCTTAAGGTTTGATGTTTGGATAAACTAGTCCCCTCTTATGAAAAAACAATCTTTATTTATATTCAGGTTATGTAGCTGGAGGAGTCACAAGGTAAAAATATAACGAATATCAAACAGGGGAGAAAACGAATACAATCACTGCAAGTGGTTTAGAAAAAAAATATACAATAAAAAAAGTCTAGATAAAATTGTGGATTTGAGAACGCTCAAAAAGAATGGGAGAGATCGAGGAAAAGTAAAGATACTCGTAGCAAGCTGTTGGATATTCACAAATAGATACGTGCAGTGCAGCTTGATACAAACACTTTAAAAAAAAAAAAAAACCCTCTTCAAATTCTATTACCCACTTTTAGGTTTAGAAGTGGTCTAATGGTGTCATAGGTTTGCTGCATTCCTTTGAAATTGTTGTATATTGTATTCTATTTCATATTTATTTAAAGAACACTCCAAACACCGTAACTAACAATGTCAATCAAACTAATGGAACAGCAATGTACATATATTACAAGCTCACACTCAAGGATATTAAACAGGCCGGATCTATTCAATAGCATTTTAAAGTTGCTTGTTGCACTAATAGTCTTCTGTTCAGCAATTGTTGTATATAATTAACACTTCCCTCTCCACAAACTGGCTCCCTATTTACAGAACACAAGGTTTGCAGGTTTTATTTTCAAAACACAAAATCAACTTCAGCCAAAGTGTCTCAAAGAGGTTTGCGCAATGTCGTCAGCCGGTAAGATAACACTGTGAAGGCCCTTACATTAGTTTTTAAAAAAAAAAAAAAAACCCTCTTACTAGAAGATATAGTTTAATTTCATGATAGGGGCTGAATACTCTAGCCAACGCAGCCATCCAGCATGGATGGGGTTTCAATTACAAAGCTAAAATAGGATTTTTAAAGATTATTTTGTTTCTCCTTGGACACTGTAGGCACCCTGTATCTTCGAATTAAAGATACAGCTTACAGCTTACAGCCTTCCAAAGTGCAGATTCTGTGTGTCTGCTGACATCATATACACGCTCTCTGCAGGATTTTTATTTTTATTTTTTTTAAATCAGTCACTGTGGGTTGTAAAATCTGATGCAATTACAATAGAACCACCTACATCTTGAAAATCTGCCAGATCGTCAAGTGGGAAATTACCGCTAAACTTAATATAGCTTGATTATATAAAATAAAAAAAATAAAAATCATATTAATCTGCTGGGATCATTGTTCTAGGCTGATTTATAGAACGAAAATGTTAGGGGCTCTACTATTTAAAGCACA